GGTAATATAGGGTAATATTGGGATACTATAGGGTACTGTAGGTTATATAAGGAAATATTGGGATGCCATAGGGTAATATAAGTTATATCTGGACAATGGAAAAGAAAACGGAACTACTATAATATGTAGGTTGGGATAACATAGGGTAAGAAAGGTACAAACAAATAATGGGAAAGAAAATGGAAACAACTGTAATATGTAGGAGTTAGGTAATTGTTATAGGGGACTAAGGGAGGGACTGAAGGGCAAGTTTGGAGTTTAGGATGTAGGGTTGAGGATTTAGGGTTTGGGGATGGAGGCTTAGGGTTTAGGATGTAAGTTTGGGGTTTAGGATTTAGGGCCTATTATAGGACGTAGGGTTTGGGGTTTAGGATTTAAGGTTTGGGGATTAGGGTTTAGGGTTTAAGGCTTAGGGATGTAGGGTTTACGGGTTTAGGATTTATGGTTCAGGGTGTATAGGGTTGAGCATTTAGGGGTTTCAGGGTTCGGGGATTGGGATTTAGGATTTAGGGGTGTTAGGGTTTAGGGATTGGGATTTAGGGTTTAGCATTAAGGGATTTAGGGTTTTTGGAGGTTCAAGGTTTAGGGTTTAGGGTCTTCAGGGTTCAGGGAGGGGGTGCCAAAAAAAGAATGGGGTATTTGGGGTGTAGGATTTCCGGACTGGCCCTCGACTTTTTCTGTGCGGTTGTAGACAGGATGTCCTGGAGATAGGTATGGAGATAAGTCCCATAGGCTCGAGTTCTGGATATATGAATATACTCTTCTGGCAAAAATGCCTGTCGCATGGCGACAGCCCTTATGATATCCACCCTAAACCCTAAACCTAAACCCTTATGATATCAGGAACTTGTGAAAGGCGACCCCAACCCCAGGATGTATAAGGTTCAGTAAGGACTAATTCCTAAAACCTCATGAGCCCTGTATTCAAAATCTATGAACCCTAAACCCTGATCCTAAACTTTAGACCCTATACCCTAAATCCTAAACCTAAACCCTAAATCAAGAAAACTCTAAACCCTAAAAACTAACTCCTACACCCGAATCTCTGAACCCTAAACCCTAAACCCAACCCAAAACCCTAGTCAGACGATAGTTTCAGTAGGGTTTGCCCAATGCCCAACAGAGACTTGGTCGCAGTTTGGGATTTAGGGTTTAGGGTCTAGGGTGTGGGGGAGCAGAACCTTCGAGTTCACTTTAGGTATGTATGTCCAAGTTGCCCACTTCTGTTCCCTAGGGATACTCACCCAAGATAGGCGTGACACGTTATAAACACAGTTTCTAGGTGGGCTAGAAGCACCTAGGACCTGCAAGTACCTCGATCAAAGCCACAAAGCACAAACCCCAAACCCCTAAATCCAAAAACCCCTAACCCCCAACACCCAGCCACAAAGCCCTAACCCCAAAACCCCACAGCCCTAAAACCCTAAAACCCTAAATATCCCTAAAACAACCCCAGGACCCAAATCGTGTAAACCTGCACAGGCCAGTGCCTTCCGCAAGTCCTGCAAAGCCTCCTGTGAGCTTTGCAGCTGCTGCTGCATCGAACTTCGGAGCTTGCCTGATACAGGGGCCAAAATAGGGATTCTATAGAAGCCTGAATGATTCTACAGGGTTCTGAAGGATGCTAGAGAAGCGTAGATAAGGGTTCTATAGGGGTATACAAGGATTCTATGAGGGTGGGTATGTAGGGATTCTATGAGGGTATGTAGGCATTCTATAAGGGTATGTAGGGGCCCCTAAAGCCTAAACCCGGATTGAAGCCCTAGGTCTTGGCGTATACAGCGGAAGTTTCTCGGACAACCGCCAATTGAAGGGCACATTTCGATAACACTGAAACCTATACTCCTAAATCCTATAAGTTTAGGGTTTAGTGTTTGGAGTTACCATAACTCCTCTGTCCTAAGCCTTACGCATCCTGAATCCGAAGCCCTGGGTCCTCAACCCGAATCCCTCAACATTATATCCTCCATGCTACTTCCCGAAACACAATCCCTAAACCCTTCAGGCCCAAACGCTAAACCCTACACCCTAAACCTGAACGCTAGATCCTAACCCTTCAGGCCTAAATCCTAAACACTAACCCTAAGTCCAACCCCCAAAACCGTAGAATCCTGAATACCTGTCCTTCGGCCCCAAATTCTATAGGCCCTACATCTCTTTTAAGGATCTTGGGCTTAAGTGTTAAGCTAAACCCTGAATCACCCACCCCAAAAAAACCCTATAGATCCCTTTTAAAGGAGCCCATACTTGCTTGCGAGGTGACTTCGCGACTCGTGGACGACCCCAGCAAGGGGCTGCCAGAGATCCGGGCCCCCACTGTTCAACTGCTGGGCCTGCGGTTTAGGGCTAGAATACAGGAGCGTAGGGTATAGGATATAAGGTATAGGGCTTAGGAAAGGGGTTTGGGGCTTACTTTTTTTCTAATTCAGCGCTTCGGGTGTAGGATTTGGGCTTTAGTGGGGCTTATGGTCGAAGCGGAAATATAAACAATTAGACTAGATACAGAGCCCCTTTGTAAGGATACGCCGATTGCTCAAACCCTAAACATTTAAGGCTCAGAACTAGCGCACGGAAAGGTATACTCCAGGAGGAAATCTTGTGCCACCTAGGAACGCCATCAGGCTGCATAATACGTCTTATGGATTCCTAAGATAGAGGCTAGGGCTTAGAACAAGGCGGTGTGTGTAAGATTTCCTCTATTCACAGTGTAGGCTCCCCTGTAAATGGACTGTAGTCTTTCTAGAGCCCCTTCCCTAAGGGTCCAATTACCCAATCATCATATACTCACCCCAGACCTGTACTAAAAACACCACTACCAAAATCCCAAGTACCTAGTTATTGGGTACTGGGACCCTTAGGGCTTCATGGGCTCCAGCCGGAAGGTAAGCAAGCCTCACAATGCTTGTATAAGCCTGCTGCACTTTAGGGTTTAGGGTTCACGCTTTGGGTCCCGCTTTAGTAGATAGAATCTGGCTTTGGGTAGATTATAACAAGATCCCCAAATACCCCATAGTCTATCAACTTAAGGGGGACTAGATCCCTAAACCCTCAACCCTATAGACCCTAATCCCTACACCCTAAACCCTCAACATCATATTCTATCTACTTAAGGGGCACGATATCCCTCAACCCTCAACCTTAAACCCTAATCCCTAAACCCCATATTCTATCTACTTATCCCTAAACCCTCAACCCTATAGACCCTAAACTCCACTATTTTCCCTGGGATCCGCCTCAATGACCCGCTGCAACTCTTGCATCTCGGCCTCCAACGTGTGGCTGCTGCGGGGTGGGCCGTTTTAGGCTCGGGGTAGAGTTTAGGGTTTAGGGTTTAGGCTGTATAAGGGTTAAGTAGGGTTCAGGGCTTAGGGGTTTCGGTGTATAGGGGTTAAGGGTTTAGGGTTGGGATTAAGTACGGATGTCTTGAAATACATACGGACACCTAGAGTTTAGGGTTTCAAGGGCTTAGGATTTAGTGTGTGGGGTTCAGGGCGCGGAACTTAAGGCGTGTCTATGAAACTTACCTAAACCCTAAAAAATTATGTAAAATAATGGCCCTAAACCCTTATAAGCAGCCCAAAAGGCCATAATTCTACATAGTTTTGGGGTCCAGGTACCGAAAGTTGATGACACAAAACAGGGCCAGAGGAATGAAGGAGGAGGGGAAAGGCTTTAAGGATAAAACATAAATTCAGAAACCCTAGGTTTTAGGGTTTAGGGGTTTAGGGTTTAGGGTTTATGGGTTTAGGGTTTATGGGTTTATGGGTTTAGGCTAGTCAAAGTACACCCTAAGCTCTACGCGCTAACAGCAGTATCAGAGGTAGCCACAACGCCGCCGTGGTCGCAATTAGAACTTAGCTGACTGTAGGGCCCCTCCTGAGAGTCGAACTTTTCGCCCTAGGGTTTAGGGTTTGGGGGTTTTGGGGTTTAGGGGTTTAGGGGTTTTGGGGTTTTCGGGTTTTGGCGTCAGGGGTTTAGGGTTTAGGGTTTGGGGCTTTTGGGTTTAGGGTTTTTGGGTTTAGGGTTTAGGGTTTTTGGGTTTAGGGTAGCAGGAACCCAGACAGCTGAACTGTTGGCCTCTCTGCGAAGACTGGTCTTGGAGTTCTTTGCGTCTTGCTCAGGTTGAGAGGCTGAAGAGTCTTACAATGAAGGGGGTCCATGCCACATTTTGCTTGCATGATGTGCTGGATAATTCTGGTCCCTCGTGGACTTTTCCAAGCTCGATGAAGGGGATATAAAGCTCTCTAGTTTGCAGCTGGGGCTTGTCCTCACAGACACGGTGACGGATGAAATGCAACTTTTGATCATCGGAATCCTATATAGAGGGCAAATCAATACCTCAAAACCAAGATTCTCAGATTCATGCCAACAAACCCTACACCCCAAAATGTCACAAAACCCTAAACCCTAAAAACCCTAAAAACCCCAAACACCCTAAACCCTAAACTCTAAACCCTAAACCCCAAAGCCTAGATCCATGGCCACCCTCAAGCTTCTCTGAGCCTGACGAATATCTCCTACGCGCACAACCCTTGCACTGTTTAGGGGTTTAGCGTTTCAGGGCTGTAGGGGCTTAATATTTCAGTGTTTAGCAGTTTAGGTTAGAGTGGTCTATTTAGGGATATGGCCAACAGAGCCATCCGATAATCTGAATTAAGCACATTTCTGACACAAAGATAGGCTGCAGGCCAGCCAGAACAGGGTTTAGGGTTTAGCGGGCGCAGCTTCTTACATCAGACACAGCTGATCGTCCTTGCGAAGGTTTGGGCGCTCTCCGCCAAAGGCTCCATGTAGCTATATAGTATATACTTAGGGCCCAAAAAAGTTCCCCAAAGGTCTTATAGGTGAACTTTCCCTTTCAAGCAAGCTAAGGCTAGCGGCATTGGAATAAATGATAAAAAAGGGCTGGCCTTCTCGAAGTTTCTGACGAGTGCCCTGCAATGGCAAGCACCCAGGCTTCTGCCGCCAATAATTTTCGCGCAGCTAGCCCAAAGGGTCCATGTAGCCATATGGTATATACTTGGGCCTTAAAGTAGGTATATGGGAACCCCTTTGAACATTAAGTATATACCATATACCTACACGGACCCTCTGGGTAGCATACCATATGTCCGCCACCGGCTCGTCAAGTGGGTTGCGTGTCCACCGGGCACCGCTCTGGACACTGTTGCTTTTGCAAAGCTGGTTTAGGGTTCAGGGCTAGAGCCAGCCACCAACAGGTCCAGGTCATTGGGCGTGTTGAGCTGGCATTTTGTCCATGAAGCATGCATGTCCCAGCCCCAGCGCCGGTTGATTGGGCGTCCTGCCGACAACCTGCGTACACAAAGAAACAGAACCTTCAACTTCAACACCCTAAGCACCAGGCAGAAGTCAGCCAAGATAACCCCTTCGTAGTCGCTGTCCTGTTTCACCCCTTGACCGCATGTTTTTGTTAAGTTGGCCCGAGTGGGTATCCAATCCAGTTCCTGCATGATCATGTGGAAAGAGACAGAGCCAGCAATAGACCCTATGACAAGCCCCATAAAGGCTGTCACGAAGTAGACCTACAACGTCATCATACACTTCAGGCAAGCCGGTTTGCATGTGACTCTCCGCTATTGGTGTGATCTTCCTTAACCCTAAATCCGAAATCCCAAACATCCAAAATCCAAAAAATCTGATCCTGAGGCCCTAAACCCTCAACCCTTAAACCCCAAACCCTAAGCCCTAAACTCTAAACCCTAGAACCCTGCCTCCAGCTGGGAGTTCTGGGCCCTAAGCCCAAAACCCTAGCCCCTAACCCCTTGACCACTAAACCCTAAACCCTAAACCGCGGCCTCTAGCTGCAAGTTCTGAGCCGCCAAGCGCTCGGAGATCGCCGAGACGTCAGGGGGGCTGGAGGGCGCCACCAAGCACTGGGCGGCCTTTTGCAAAGGTGGGAATAGGACTCAGGATGCAGGATTTAGATTTCGGGATTTAAGGCTTAGATTCCAGGATTTAGGGTTTAGATTTCAGGATTTAAGGTTTAAATTTTCAGGATTCAGGGTTTAGATTATTTAGGGTTTAGGGGTTCAGGATTAAGGGGGTTTCGAGTTTGGCGACGTACTTGGAGGTCCAGAGTAACTGCAACCGACCCACCAACCATTCTCATAACCCAGCTATATCCTGGGTCACTGTACTCAACTTGAAGCCCGAATCTCAAAGGTCGGAGTCATGGCCTTACTGGGAGCCCCGGAGGGGCACAATTGCGTATGTACATATGAGGTAAATAGAGACTCTATGGCTAACGGCCCGGCCCATACTTTTCTCGTTAGACTTTTCAGCTTCGGGTTGTGTATTGTGCCTTGTATGACGTTTAAAGTAAGCCTCAGAGGGACATTGGTGATTACCTAGGCCCCTGTATTCGGTCTCTGAAGAGGGATCTAGTATCTGCTCGCCTACGCTCAATGCCAAAGACCCTGCATGATCTTGGTATACAAGAATGCCACAACTGCCAAGGTAAAAGGTGCTTAGAGCGAAATTCTGACATTGAGCTTGCTAGCGGGAGCCTACGGTATAGGATTAGGATCTACGGCTTTAGGTTTAGGGTTTAGGGTTTGGGGTTCAGGTCTTAGGGCTTAGGAACAAAAGATCATCAAAATGCAAGACAATAGAATATGACATGGCAACTGGGTTTTATGTAGGAGGTCGCACGGGATTCCACTATTGTGGTCCAAGCGTTGTATGATTCTGGTATAGGGTGATGTGCCTAAGAGTATCATTGTCCCTAAATCCGAACCCTAAACCTCAAAATTATGTTGACAATTATTCAGGCCGGACCTTTACCTGCATGGGTCCAAGCTGCATTTCCGTGTGGAGCTTCATGTTACTTACCTCTCAGTCCTCATGGAATCTAAGCCCAAAGCCCCGGGGTCCTGTAAGCTCCTGCGTACGCCCTTATACCCTTACTAGCATTCTCATTTCAACCCCGAGCCCTGAACCTTGGGTGCTGGCCCCCATCAGTAACAGTCTACGTACAATTAGATGTCCTTACTAGCATTCCTTTTAAAACCTTAAACCTTGCGTGCTGCCCCACACCCAGTAACAGTCTATAGTAGTAATAATGCTAAAGGTTTTTCTAGCGTTTTGTATTTTCCTTATCCAGCGGTTACTGACTGGAGGCAATACCCAACCTAAACCTGGCAACCCTGAGCCCTAAAAAGTCCTCAGTTCTCAATCCCCTCCAAATCCCTAAAGGCTAAAAAGCAACTCCAACGGCCTAAACCCTAAAAACGTCCTCAATCCCCCTGAAAACCCCAACCCCTAACACCTAAAAACTCCTCAATGCTCCTTAAAACCTGCAAGCGCCCAAAAACCTTAAAACCCTATATTCTAAACCCCTTGAAACCCCAAGCCTGCTCGGAGGGTCGTGGGGACTTAGTAAGTAGGTTAATAACCCCTGTAAGCAACATGATAACCACAATTATCCCATTAATAGCCTACTTACTAAGTTCCCACCCCTGAAACCCCAAAAGAATCCTCAACTACCGGGATCAAACCCTAAACCGATTGAAGCCCTACACACCTTAAAAACCCGTTTAAAGTTTCTTACAAACACCCTAAAGCCTACGCCTTGAACCAAATTAAAGTCCTCTCAAAACCCCTTGAATGTCCCTTAAAAACCTCTAAAACACCTTCAAAATCCTTTAAACCCTATAACCCGTTTCAAGTTCCCCAATTCCCGGGGATGAAAGCCTTTAGTAGCGAGTCGTGCTGCTGCCGGCTTGGCATTGGATCCAAACTGAACGGCTGCGAGCTGCTGGGGGCGACGGCCTCTGTAGAGCTCAGGGTTTAGGGCTTAAGGTTTCGGATTTAGGGCTTCGAGTGTAGTGTAGGGCTTAGAGCTTAGGGTTTTGGGGGGGTGGGGCTTAGGGTTTGGGGTTTAAGGTTTAAGGCTTAGGGTTTAGGGCTTACGGTTAGGGCGTAGGCTATAGGGTTTAGTGTAGGGGTTACGGCTTAGGGCTTTGGGCTCAGGTTTCGGGCTCAGGGTTTAAGGTTTAGGGCTTAGGGTTTAGGATACAGGGTTTGGGGCTACTTGAAAGGTTCATGGGACTTAGTAACCACTTAGACGTTGGGGTTCGAGATACAACCTGACTGTCTTCTGCTACTTTGTAAAGCTAAACTTAAGTGAAATGGGCAATGGTTTCGAACAAGCTTGAGGGATGTCAGGTGAGGATTGAGTAGCTACCATTGAAAAATCCTGCACGACCCTAAGCACCCTCTACCCTGAAAAGTATGGTACTCTATAAACCCTAAACCCTAAACCCTAAAACCCCAAACCTAAAGCAAACTATTGTATACTAAGGTCACCCGGGACTTTTAATGCAAAACTTCTTCGTAGGGTCCTGGGGCCACCTTGCAAGGGCCACCTCCTTAGACCTGAATCCCTAAAGCCCACGTATTCCCTCAAGCCCACATATCCCTAAATCCCATATGTGCCTAAACATAGACACATGCATATACATATCCGTGTACACATACTCATATACGTATACATCTCTCTCTCCCTCTCTCATATCCCATACACATGTAGTTATGTGCATATATGTATATACATCATTCTCTCTCTCTCTCTCTCTCCTGGTATACGTGCAGGCCCCTTTGGAGGCCCCCAAGGGCCCTATAGAAGCCCGTTTGAAAGGCACGTGGCTTCGGGCAGAGGGTTAGCTGCTGGCGGAGCCCATATTGCCTTGCTACATGGTAGTTGTTCAAAGGAGGGTTTAGGGTTTTAGATTTAGGGGCTGAGGGTTTTATGGTTTAGGGGGTTTATGGTTTCAAATGGGTTCCTTTGTGAATTAGGATCTCCCTTTAAGAAAGTGTTCTCCCGAAAACCTTGAACACAGCTCCTGCATGGAAGAGATTTGTTGTTTGGCTTCGGGGGCTTAGGCCTTAGGACTTGGGGAGTAAGCATTGAGGTTTAGAGTTTTGGGCTTTGGGTGTTGGGTTTAGAGATTTGGGTTTTGTAGTCTTGGACTTAGCGTTTGGGGCTTAGGGCTGAGCTCCGGACTGGTGCTTATGGTCCTAAACCCTAAACCATAAGCCGCGTAGGAGGGCTTACGGGCTTGGGGTGTAAGGCTTAAGGTCTAGGTCTTAGAGCTCAGGGCCTGGGACAAAGAAGCTAGCTCATCAATTAAGGGTTTAGGGTTTAGGGTTTGTTCTTCGGGCCCTACGTCTCTCAGGCTCAAGGTTCCCCCTATACATGAGTTCACGAAAAAATCATACCAAACAGCCCAGGCACTCAAACATGATTTCAGGCAAGCAAAAAAACATGAGGATTCTGGCATTCGGTACATAACCCGGAACCCTAAACCCTTAACCCTACACCCTAAGCCCTAAACCCTAAGCACCATCATCCTCGAGCCGTTGGACATCAACCCAGGGCGTCAAGTCTAAGACACACTGTGGGCTCTGCCTATAGATACCAACGGTTCTGGGTTTAGGGCTTAGGGGTTTAGCGTTTGGGGTTTGGGGATTAGGGGTTTAAGGGTTTAGGGTTTGGGGTTTGGGGTGAAGGACTCAGATTAGGATGCTTGCGTACTCTCCCCAACCTCCTACTCATAAACACCCCCAATCTAGTACCACCACATATAAATATGTATATATATATACATATTGAAGAGCTTTTTTGTCATCCAGAAATTACTTGGAACTTGGCTTATGAGCTACTTATAACCGCCTAACAGCCCTTATCGAGGTTACCCCAAGTGAAAGTATGGTTCTCACTCCGCTTACAAGTGCCGAGTCCCATGAACCTTCAAGTTGAGGGAGGGGATAACTCAACAAGGGTGTAGGGTTTAGGGTTTAGGGGTTAGGTACTCAATACCCTACACCCTGAAACCTAAACCATCAATCTGTACTTAGCACCCAATACTTTCTACAGTGACTGTATCTATGGGACATATAGCCGGCTTTTACTATTGTGACTAAGTGGGCTATGACCACTCTGAACCTCCAAGTAGCCCTGGACCCTAGACCTTAACTGACCCTAAACCGTAAACCCGAAACCCCTAAACCCTAAACCCCTTAAACCCTAAACCCCTAAACCCTAAAGTGTACAATACGCCAGATAGTGCCCGATTTCTTCCATCCGCGCTATCAGAGAGGAAGCCTTAGCTTCCTGAGGGTGAGGGGTCTAGAGAGGTCCCGAAGGGTTTAGGGTTTAGGGTTTCGCCCTTAACCCCTACAGCTGCTGACACTAACAATCCCGCATGACCGGAAGTACTCGGAGGTAACTACCGCAAAGCCATGCAGAATTTCTGATATCAAGCCAACTCCTAAATCCTGACCCATCATCCCTAGACCCCTAGACCTTAGACAGGGGTTCTGATGCAAGGAATTAGGGCCACCGTAGATACCATACAGCTACATGAACCCTGAACAACAGCATGGTAGGGTAACCAACATAGACACCAACTCCTCAAACTGATCCCTGTTATCCAGGAAATCCTACGCCACATGTGTCCTTCGATATCCCCATCAATCCCTCTCAAAGGGACCCTGCACTCCAACCGCGAAACCCTAAGCTCCGGACCCCCAAACCTGTCCCTAAACCCCAAACCCCCAAACCCTAAATTGGTCCTAGGCGCCTGGTAGGCTGTTGTCTCAACCAATCCGAGGCGATCGCAGCGAAGATGGAGCTGCCTCTATTTGAGGTTTGGGGTTTCGGGTTTGAAGTTATGGGCTAACAGTTTTGGGTTAAGCGTTAAGTTGTGGGTACAGAGTTCGGGGTTCAGGACTAAGGAAAGTTTAGGGTTCCAGGTTTGAGGTTTGTGCTTTTGGGTTTTGGGTTTAGGGGTAAGGGTGTTGGGTTCACGGTTTGAGGTTTGCGTTCTCGGGTTTGGTTTAGGGTTTCGGGTGTAGGCTTTTGCGTAAAAGGCTTAGGGCTAAAGGATGTGAAGGGCTTAGGGAGAAGAAACGAAAACTAGGGATTAGGGTTTAGGGATTAATCAGGGTTCAGGGTTTGGGGTTTAGAGATTGGAGTTTAGGGCTCCGGGAGATAAGATCCAAGTACTTGTGAATCATGAAAGTGAGCTCCAACATGAACAGCCTTTGATCTCAAGACGTCAAACCCTAACGTACAAAACCATAACCTCCGGGCATTCAAACACACAAAACTATGACCTCCTGCCAACGAACCTCGAAACACTCAGAACCTTTAGACTGGCACCCTATGACTGCAATTCATACTAGACATGCTGCACAATCTCAAGCAGCTTAGACCTTGGGAACTATGAGGTTGCGGCATACTTAGGACATGTTGGATGTTAGCATCAACAGTATCATCCTCATGTTGGGAACTGCAGTAGACCCCGAGCCCCCAACTCGGAACCCCAAAAACCCTAAACCCTGAACTCTAAACCCTCAACCCTGAATCTTCGACTCACAACCTGTGTTTAAGCCTGAAGTCTGAATCCTGAACTGGAATCCTCCTACGAACCAAGGCCCTACGCCCTTCTGTGCCTCAGTTCTTCTTTTGCTTCTCTGATCTCCTCTGACAGAGTGCTGGGCTTAGGGGCGTTCTGCCATACCTTTTGCGGGCATGCCTACTTGACGGTAACCTTAAGGATTTTCAGGATATGTCCGGTCCTTATACTCTATCCCTTGAGCGGGGTATCAGACTTTAAGGCTGGTATGCTCGTTTTACACACCTGCGACCCAAACAAGGGTCAAGCATGCTAGTCTAGGAAGGCTGAAGGCCAACAAGTCAGAATGATTCATGACACCGTTATACACTGTTCGCTCTTTCTAGGCCTGTGGGCTGTTGATGGTTCAACTTGCAAACCTCTACTGCTGGGTGTAGAGAGACCACCAAGAAAGCAGGCGGCGCACCCTCGGATGTATGTGTTCTTATGGCAGCCCTGTCTGTAAGGACTTCAAAAATTGCATGATTCCCGCAGGAACCAGCCCTACCTGATTGATTAAAGTTTAGAGTTTAGGGCTTAAGGCTAATTACCTATAGCCAAGAAGTAATCAATCCCTAATTTAAAGGGATGACATATACAACTCTAGGTAATTGGCGTTACATGTGGATCCTTAACCCGGAAGCCCTAAACCCTTAAACCATATCAACATCTAAAATCAGGATGCCCTTTCAGCAAGAGCTTTGGGTTGCTGGACAGTTTAGGGTGTACGGTTCAAGGTTCAGGGCTATATTCAGCATCTTCGTGTTCGTATTATGACAGGATTGTTGCACCTTCCCCTCCCCCCAAACCCTAAACACACACACACACACACACACACACACACACACCCCAAATGAGCACCCTTTAGGGACCGTATTGTAAGAAGGTACATAAGGAAGGAAATAGAGGTTGACATCTGCAGGCCAATTCGATTCGATTCAATGGGTTTAAGGTTTAGGGCTATGGAAAATCCAGTGTGTCCTCACGTGGAAGCTGGGTCTGTAAGCCGTATAAGCGGGTTATATGCAGGGAGAATCAGTGCAAATAGAAAATCAGATGGACAATAACATGAAAACTGCCGGTGTATGGGGATACATCTTTGTGCAGGCGGGGTTAAGGATGAAGTCTAAGCCAGGTTTCGAAGTCCACTTTTGAATTCCAAATGCGACACATGTAGGGTTTAGGCTTCAGGGCTTGAGGTTTCGAATTTAGGGTTTGGGTTGGTTCTGGTATTATTCATTGCCTAGACTACCCGCACCAAAGTGCCCCGTTCGTGGAACTTATGTTCTGCAAATTCAGCCGGGGACTGCGCGGGATTGGTTGTGAAGGAGGCCTCATGGAAAAGGAAGTGGTTAAATTTGTCGAAGCTCC